CTCATTCATGTAATAACCAATATTGTTAATAAAAGCGAGCAAAAAGAAGTAAAACTTGCAATTTCTGCCCCTGTTTATATAGAATTGATCAAATAAAAACATCTTGTTAGATCAATTGTCTTTGTTTTATCAGGAAGGTCTTATTCAGCATATAACTAACTGGCATGCATAAGATAACGGGAAAAAAAACAGATTTTAAGATAGGATTTTTTTTATAGAAATGTTCTAAATTTTGGGACAATATAATCTGATAAAGAGTACATTTACTGTATATACACGTTTAAGCCAGAATGCTTTGACATTTAAATATGATTTCCATACGACTTTAAGGCTTACCCGCGTCTTCTTGTACATCTTGCTCTTGAGGTAGCTGAATGTCCGGCTGACTTTTGTGGTGTTTTTTCCCTCTGTGTCGCTCCGCAGAGGCCCAGGCTCTTCTTCCGATATACTGAAACACATGTCAGCATGAATCTGCAACTGCTGCAAACTACACAACACACCAGCTCCAACATTCCCTCAAAGGCTTCTTTATAGCACCACAAAGGCCAGGTCGACCCGTGGACCCAGCCCGCTGCTTCTCCACACTCCTCTTTATAAGACCATAAAGGTCATTGCGGCTTCGAAACCTTAAAGAAGCATTTCCCCATAATGTGTATGACCACATTTGAACTTACCTGTATGCTACGGAGCCAGACGTGCTTGAAAACAGCCTTGTGCCTGAAAGGAAAGAAGACAGGAAGTGAGGTGTAGAAGTTTTTTATTTAAAACGATGTTCTTTATTGTGACAGGTGCAAACTGAGGTAGTAAAACCGTATGCAGGGCAGAGCAGCGTTGACCTTTCACTGTGTACACCGGCTCACTAGGAAAACTTTTTATATTAACTGGAGCTGAAGGTTGTCAGGTTATGCCCTAGCTGCAAGGATTTGACAGGGAAAGGACTGAGACACTTCTGATTCATAAAAGCAAGATATTTAGCCTTTAGGAAGCCCTGTAGAACACAGTCAGAGAATTAAGGAAGTGACATGGCTTCCTTTCACTTTATTGACTTTCAATCCTAATGGTATTTTGACTTCAAACTAAATTTTGGCTGCTTACAAAGAGTAACATTTTTTTCAGTTAAATAAAAATAATCATAAATATTAAGGAACCCGCTCTGCCCCACCCCCTGTCACCAAGACCCATTAGTGGCTGTGCATGTGTAGGCCCTTATGCATCATTCTCAAACATTCATTACACAAAACAATGGCTCGTTAGTCCTTTTCATGTACTGTAAATCAATGTCTTCTGCAGTTTCACCAATGCGAATAACAATTATGCAAGCAGAAAGACAAACCTGTCAATTGATTTGAACCATTACCTTTCCTCAGAATTCACATCCGCCATGTGAGGGATCACATGGCGGAGCATTCTGTATCTCAGCAATAGACTGATCACCCCATTTACACTATGATATATGGACTATTAGTCCATGGGGAATCATACTTGTTTTGGATTCTCAGCTGCTAGTAACTTTTGTTTATTTCTTCTCACTCATCTTTGCCAATTTCCTGTCTGATAGGTAAATAATTAGCAGTCACCCAAAAAAAAAAAAAAGGAAAACGCTTTTCACCGAGGTTTAAATTGTTATTTTGTGTTGGCTGTACAATATTGGTCTTTTCTAAAGTATATTTGTGAGATTTGCTAATGGTTCTTTCTAGTAATCAGGTTGAAGACCACCAGTGGCCTCATATGTTGCAGGGTGGGCTTATTGCATCAGAACCACAAGTTGGTTTAAATCCCAATTATAAGTATGACTTTTTAAACTTTCAGTTAAGCCAGTAATCTTTTTATTGGGCATTGTAGGCTCTTGAATCATGTTCTGTGCTTTAATGTGCAAATGTTTAAACACAAACGACAATAAGCTTAGAGTATAAAACTGGTCTATTATCAAAACTGTTATTTGGGATTCGTTGCTATGAAGGAGTTTCACACTGAAACACTCAGGTTGGAGTTATATTTGTACCATAACAAATTACTTCCATCCATCTATCCTCTGTCACGCTTATCCCAAGCGGGGTCACGAGGGTTGCTGGTGCCTATCTCCAGCTGTCTACGGGCGAGAGGCGAGGCACACCCTGGACAGGTTGCCAGTCCATCGCAGGGTAACAAATTAAGTCTGAACAAATCATTTCTAATATTAAAAATTGCATTTTGCATAAGATATAGTCAGGGTACCAAATACAGAGAGACCATTAATACTGTTCATACTTTTAATACAAGAAGGTATTTTGTTTTATGGGAATGTTTCAACGGTGCCCCCTGCCTCTCAGCCAGTGACAGCTGGTAAATGTTCCAGTGAACCTTAACATCATATTGAGAGTAAAGAAAATTATCATCTATTTGATGTGTTGCTTCTAGTTAAACTAGGCATGTCTTTGACACCCTTCAATCATCAAGTAATGACACATGGGGAATTGCCATCCTCTGCGTCAGTCTTCATTGCACATTTTACACTGACAGCATCAGTGTTTTTTAAGAAGGTAGATTTAACATGACTTTGGACTTCCTTGGCATTGTTCTTGTACATTTAGTGCTGAAAAAATTGGAGAAAAGTAATAAACAACAAGGTCTGAGTTTCCCTAGGCCACATATCCTTTGCACTTCATGAAATTATTACCTAATATGAAGGCCTAGTGGCTAGGGCATAGTGCTTGGAATCCCAAGGTTCTGAGTTCAAGCCCCACTCCCACAGACTGCCACTCTGGCTCCCTGTGCACCGCACAATGGAAGCCCACTGCTTCCCAAGGGGATGGGTTAAATGCAGAGATATAATTTTGTTGCTCTGTACTTGTTACAGCATATGACTATAAAAAATTTTTTTTTTGTTGGACTGTTTTTTTTTTTTTTTAATACACACTTGCATTTGTTTACCATTTAATTCCCATAAATAAAATCTAATACAAACATTTTACTTCGCAAAAATCCCACGTAAATAGACTGATTCATTAAAAAGCTGCTCTTTGAATGCCCTAGATGTTAGAAAATATGTTATAATACCAGCAAAACTCATAAAAAGGAGGTCTCTGAAGACAATACTGTATGAATTCAAAACAAAGAAATTGCTTAGACAAAAAATGAATAATTTATAGGAAAGCATTAACACAGAAGGCAATTGTGTCTTTGTACCTATAGTAGTTTAAAAGCATTTTCTTGATATATACAGTGGGGCAAAAAAGTATTTAGTCAGCCACCAATAGTGCAAGTTCTCCCACTCAAAAAGATGAGAG